GCGGTTGATGGCGAGCGCAGGCGCGTCATCCACTATGAACCGCTTCTTCCATTCCTTTGTCATATCCGCCCAGGAGACCTTCTTGTGTAGGTCTGAAACCTGGACGTCGTGGATGGTTGCCATGTGGCTGAGCCAGATCTGACATCCTCGCTTGGTGTTGATGAACAACTCGTGGATCCCCAACTCCGTTGTAAATCCTTGCCACCAGACGACCGGGTCTTGATGTGTGTAGTCATCAAATTTCTCGATCCGGAACGTCGGCATCTTGTATGGCCTTGCCGAGCTGTTGTTGTGGCTGTGGTCGGTCTGCTGTTGCTGACTGATCTTAGTGTCCAGCAACTCGAACCGCTGGCTGATGGTGGCCAGCTCTGTGAAGGCACTTATGTCTCCTAGCATTGCCACTACGTGGTCAACGCGTTCCTCCAGTTGGCGGCTAGAGGATGCACTGCTGGAAGCCCCGGCAGCTGGTCCTGGTACAGCCTGTTCCAGGTCCAGTACACGGGCGTCCAGTGCCCGTGTGGCATCCTCATGCTGAGTCTTATGGTTCCGCACAGCCCGCTGAAGGTTTGCCAACTCGGACTGCAGGTGGTTACATGTGTAAACCAGCCAGGTCACGAGCTTGGCCATGAACTCCTTATGCTTCTCTTCCGGTGTTGGTTCGTCGCCGTTCGGTTCAAAGTGCCAGAACTTGAGTCAGTCGATGCTGTTGGCTTCATGCCTCWGCAGCAGATCCTGGGCTTCCTTGCGGCGAGCCTGGGTATCTGCGTCTGCTTCGTCCTGTAGCCGCAGCTTCTCTGCTGTTGCCGCTTCTTCAGCCTGTAGCTGGGCAGCCTTGACTGCCAGCTGGCGTTGTTCTTCAGCCTCGATTGCAGCGAGCTGAGCCTGGAAGCGCTTTTTGTAGTCGGCAATGGACTCATTGGCCAGTTGGCCTGACATGCCCAGAGCTGCGCCCGTCATGGTGGCGGGGCACTGCTGAGGTGGCACTGTGTCTGACGTGGCACTGTGTCTGACGTGGCACTGTCTGACGTGGCACTGTCTGACGTGGCACTGTGTCTGACGTGGCACTGTGTCTGACGTGGCACTGCTTACGTGGCACTGTTGACGTGTCACTGTAGCTGACGTGTCATTGTTGATGTGGCACTGTTGACGTGTTACTGTACCAACCCGGAAAATGTATGCAAAGGGTGGGTGGGAGGTAACACGCAGGTAGGAAACCAACCCAACAATACTTTCCTCCGGCCCTAATCAACAGATAAAATAAAATAAAAAAATAAAAGAGGACTACTTCCTTTTTTTTTTGTGTGTGTGTATATCTGTCGATCTATGATGAGTAGGATATGTCAGAAGAGTATTATAAACGAGATCTAGGCTGGGTGCCGCAAAGTTTCGGCTTTCACTAAAATGCGATCTTTGAAAAAAAAATTGCGAAATAGAGTAAAGATACGATTTTCAGAAAGAACGAAATGCAGTTTCTGAGAATATGGCAACCTCTGACTATGCCTACCGAACRTTGGTAGGCTCCGCAAGATTTCGGTTYTCAAAAAAAAAAATTGCGAGATAGAATGGAAATTCGATTTTCAGAAAAGAATAATTTCGGTTTCCGAGAATATGACCACTTCTATCGTTATCCCAATATGCCTAGAAAACGAAATACTAACTTCAGAAATTTCGGCTATGTCT